TTTTCATTTAAAAAAGAACGGTTTAAATACACTCTATATTTATTATATATTATAAAAAATTAACTAGATTTTTAAAAACTATTTTTATGCATTTATTACTTAAAATATATTTTTTTTAATTTTAAAGATAAAATATTTTAAATATAGTTATAATTTAGATTAAACGATTTTTGACCAATAAATTTTTTTATCATTATTTTTATAAAAAAAAATAGAGTAAATTATACTTTTGATTTTTGTGTTTGTCATCCGTTATTTAACTTTCGTCCCTTTTTCTAATTATAATTTTGGTCACCATAGTTGCCATTTTATTTCACTTTTGATCCCTTAAACCAACTCTCGTTAAAAATAGCGTTAAGTAGGATGCATTTTGGTCTTTTCTATTTTATTTCATTTTCATCTAAAAAGTAAATAATATATATATATATATATATATATTACTTAACGCACCCAGTACTCAAGCACATCTGATCGTCATCTCCGGCGACCAAACTATTCAAACTCAGACGATCAGATCGTGAATTGCACATCCCCTCTTCCTCACCACAGACCAAACGGTGAACCCCATCCCACCCTCTTCTTCATGGATAACCAAATTGTTAGATCAGATAACAGTATTGCAATAAAATGCAAAGAAGAAGTGATCGTTCTCTCTGATTATTCAACAAAAAGATGGTTGCTATAATAACTTACAATACTGGAAAAAAAAGGTTGCTTATAGAAATATTTTGGATTTGTTTGCGTAAATATACATAGTTGGATAGTTATGTTGTTAAATTCACCATCTTTTCACACCCCTTTTAGTTAACTGCTTTTTGTTTTGTTAATCATAGTTGTTTGAACTACCTTCGTCCATCTTAGTTTATCTCATGGAATTTGAGAAAACCAAGGTTATGCTTTAACATATTAAATGTATGATTTTGAACTGATACCCAAAATTTTACATTGTTCAGGGTCTGTCATCAATAAACAGAAAATTGGTAATCCACCTCAATGTATTTTTAATTTCTATTAGAAGACGTATGCATCATCATTGACTCTGTAATTTGTGTGTACGTGTGTGTGTGTGTATATTTATACTATCTTATAAAGCATTTGGTTAAAACTCTTAAAAACTCTTAAAACTCTTAAAAACTC